GGAGGGAGGGAGGGAGGGAGAGAGGGCGGCGGAGAGGAAGGAAGGGAGGGCGGGAGGGTGCGAGGAGCGGCGCGGAGCAGGGAGCCCCCGCACATGCGCTCTGCCAGCGGCGGCAGCGGGAGTTCCCCCGGCCCGGCCCGGCCCGCCCCCGGCGGGTGAGGCCCGGCCCGGCCCGGCCCGGCAGCGCCGCTCGCTCGCCCCGGAATGCTCGGCCGGGCGGCAGTGCAGGTGGCAGGGACGCTCCCCCGGCTGGCAGGGGCGGGGGGCTCCGGTATCCCCGCTCCGGGGCTGGCAGCGTGTGGCGGCGGCAGCGACACGCCGCCGTGCTGAGGAGTGAAGCGCTGCAGGTGCTGGGCTGAGGGTTCGCTTTTGCTTTGGTCCCCACATCGGTATGTCCGAATAGATTTTAAAAAAATAAAAAGGCGCATAAACTACTGTCTTCGTTCTCCTCTGAAGCCAACGGAGAGGCGGGGATTCAGTAGCCAAGTAACTTTTTGATGTTGGGCGCCTGAAGCACAATTTCTGAATAAAGAACCAGAGTGGATCTGCACGGATCTGTTGGTGTCAACCATAAGAATCAATACCGGGATGCTCTGAAAATCTGACTGTGAATCCTGAATCTTGCCAGGTCTTGCCGGTTAGTTTGACCCATCTTTTCCAAACTCCAGTTTCCAAATTTTGGCTCAATAAAGAATGTTGTTTAACTTTCCTTCTGCACCTTAGAAATCTGGAGTCTGATAAGCCTCCAGGTAATACTACTGGAAAAAATACATATTTGGCATCCGGATCCTGTCAAATCATGCCATGAATCCAGAAATACTAGTATCTCAGGAGAGGATGCACTACATTTACCACTTCACTAAAACAGTCTGGCAAGATGGTACAAAAAGGCACAAGGCTGCACTAAGGCGCTTCTGTGGCTTGGCATTCGTATATATCAATTCTCTTTGCAAAAGTGGTCAGCGCTCCTTTGTATCCCATCTAGAGCCCAAAGTGTAGTGCTAAAAAACTGAAGCCAAAATTACAGGTGTGTTAGTAGGGCTGAAATGAAAAGGATGGAAAGCAGTCCAGAAGGGCTAGCTTGCATGAGAGCTGTAAAAGCATAGGCACGTCAAAACCAGCTAAGCTCTTGGAATCTGTATTCAAAACACAACTAATTTAAAACGTGACAGTAGCAGCCATGGTTTTGTTGCTTACTTTTTGTCTTCTGAAATAGAAGCTTCAAATTCTGAATCTCACAGTGACTAAAGTCAGTGTAAATCTCCCTGAAAGTCTCTTCCCATAAAACCATGACTTCTCTTTTCTTCTGATCTTGATCCTTGTGGAGAAAAAGTCCTTGAATTGGGAGCCGTAGCTCTGCCTGATTACCAAAGGTTAGTGGCATGGCAATTTGGTAGTCTTTATGGAAATCTAAGTTATATTCCCTAACTCTAGGAACAGTGCTCAAAAGAGTATTTTAAAGGATAAAACATATCTCCGAAGCATTAACAGTGCAATTAAGTGCAATGCTTAAAATATTTCTTGAGTATCTTTCCACAGCTTTAAAGAGAACCAGTGCTGTTCTAAGGCCTCAATTAGGAAAAAACTCCATATTTAGGAAATAATCTAGAGACTTTTTTAACTTTAAACTCATATGTTGAAGCTTAATGACTTCACAGTAAAGACTGTGAGCCTTCATATCTGCTTAATATTAGCAAGACAGCTCCACTCTGACAAAAACTATGAAACCAATCAAAGCAAGCATCTTCTCTTACAGATTTAGTAGCTACATAGAGATGTTCAACTTAAAAGGGATACAGTAATGGGAGACTGAGTAATGGGTAGGATTGAAGGAAAATTATTTTATCCAAATATCAGAAAAATACCAAATCCTACAAGTCTGAAAATGCTGTGCTTAAAATTTGAAATGAATAAATGACTTCTGCATTTTATTACTGTCTTAATGTTTCCCACAGCTCTGAACAAGCCCAGCCATTCCTATTTACCATAGTTTCCTGCACTGAAGCCATTCCTTGTTGTTGCTTGAACTCCTGTTTATAAACCCACTTCCTTTCAATAGCTGTTCAGCTGCTCTGTTCTGGCCACTGCCTAATCCTTGTGCCTATTTTAGAGCCCTGCAATTGCTCTCAATGACTTTTTCTTCCAAGCCTTTCTATCTTCTCTCCCTGTTTTATGGGTTTTGTTCTATGCTTCTTTGCATTTCTTAATCCAAATGGTTTCCTTATTACCATTTTTTTTTTTTTTGACAACCTGTTTGCATTGTTTTTCCAAAGAATTGTCACTGTCTTTTTAAAAAAGAGGGAAATTGATAGAGAAATGTATTATAAAATAATGTGTGAAAATCTATAACATGTACTTGAGAAGGTCTTCTGGAACAAGGAGTCCAAATAAATCTAATAAAATCATTTTACTTCAACATTGTAAGGTTAAATGACTGTAGAATTCCTATTGAATTTAGTGGCCCTGAAGCTAGATTCTTTATTTTCCAGTACTAAGTCTACACTACTGTTAGGTGACTATATAATTTCAGTCAACTTCATATTATACCTATAGAAATCCAGGCATTTAAAACTTGTCGTGGTCATGAACACTTCAAGATTACAGTCTTGTAATACAGAGTCTTGAAAATACAAAATAGTATTCCCTGCATATCTTCAACATAAAAGAAATCAAAGGCTAACATTAAAACAACTCAATAGTTGAAGACCTAATACTGATCATAAAGTCGTGATCTTTTGTGGCCCCTGCATGACTTAAATGTGATACAAAATGAAATATGTAAAATGTGTTTGAAACACAGATCATATACATATTTTTTCTCTGTAAGCAGCAGGACTGTAACAGCTTAAAGACACTTAGATTTGTAGTATCAGATGTGAAATGGGTCAGAAAAATGTCCTGCAGTTACAGAGAAGTATTTATGTGTATTTATGGTCTACTTCATGCAGAAAAAAAAAATGAATCTTGAATCCTTCTTAGCCATTTCTGTGAAATACTATGGTTCTTTTTCAGACATGGGTTTTTTCTATAACTATCAGGCTGTCTAAAGCTGCTTAACACTATTAAGATGAATTTAAAGAATTAAATAGACCTTTCTGTGCTGCTATGTATAAAACCAGGAGAATGAAAAAAAAAAAGAAAAAGAACAACCACCAACCCCCACAACTAACTCTTCTTTGTCCCAAAGCAAAGGAGTTGAAGAAATAATCATCTTCAGTTGGCTCTTTGGATGGAAAGCTCACTTGTAAATCTGATTAGAGCTACAGCATCTCAGTGGTAGGGAGATTTTTTTTTCCAGTACCAGCAAATTGAGCAAACACAGAGTCTGCCTCTGAGAATCCACTTTCATATTTCCCCAAGCGACATTTATAATTTGGCTTGTTTGTATGCAGAAACAAAGGCTTTAGAAGTCCCCTTATTAAAGAACTGCTCTTTACAGATGGCAGTGCCCTTGTAGCTTACTCAGAGCAAGACACAGATATAATGGCATCTTGTATTGCAGCTGTTTCTGTTAACTTTGGCTGTGCAATCAGTGTTTCAAAGGCTGGTATTATGTGCCAAAAGCTACCAAAACCCAAAAGCCTGTTAAGTCAGAAGAAAAATGTCACTGCTACTAAACCAAACTGAACTATAGCTTTAATGCTTGAGATGGGTTCATATGGGCTTGAGCTGGTGATTTCTTGATCACAGCTAAGTGGTAAAGTGGTATCATTTTACCATTTCACCAAATATATTCTTCCATTGCAAGTGAGGCAAAGATTCATAGCACCATTCCTAGAGCTAAATGTATTTCAGTCCTCTCCTTTAGCAGCTAGAGTGAATAGATTTTAAAATGTTTCATTGTACAGAAGCAGGAGATGGAGATTTGCTTCAGTAACCAGGTGATCTCTGCAGCAAAACGTTTCTGGTCTTTAAGCAGCACTGAACAAAAAGGACCAATAGTAAGATTTTAAGGCTAGGAATCATAAACCCCACTTTTATCTCTCAACAAATGACATTTCACATGAAGTATTTGGAACATGTCTATAGTGATTGATAATCCCAAGGTTATGAATCTCGACAAATTCACAATAAATTATCAAGATAAAGGTTAAAAAATGACATGCTAGTTTTTACTTAGCTTGCTGACCCACAATCTCTTTAATGTTTCTTTTTAATGTTGAGATCCACGGTATCATCCCTACCCTTAATAGTCATGGGATTATCATAATGTTATGTCCCCAGAACTTTGTCTTTCATCAGTAAATAATTACTTTTAAAAACTGATCCTAAATGAAGAAAGCCTTTAAGCACATGCTTGTTCTCAGTAAATGAAACATATAGAGATTTAGTGGTAATTCCATACTTAAGAATTTTTGTAAAAATAACACATTGATTGCTTTCTCAAGTAAAAGTTTATAATTTTTATTGTGTTTTACTTAGTTTATAATGCCATCTATTTTTTATGAAGATGAAATTGCAAACACTTGTTCTTTATATATTGTTTTTACTTAATTGGTCTACTTCATATTTCCATAAAAATCTTAGTCAAGCTGAAGCTAAGGGTCAGAATGTAAATAACAGTAGTTAAAAAGTCCTAAATCCCATCCACCTCATAGCACAAGAGTTCCTATGGGAGCTTATACTCCTGAAATTCAATATGGTATGGTTTGACTTAAAACCTCTGAGCATCTGAAACCACAGAATATGGGTGAATACAAACCTACCTCTTAAAAGAGGCAAATGTTTCAGGTGAAGAATTGTAACTAAATATAGAACAAGGTAGATGTGTTGCAATAAAATTGGTTTTCTTATTTATGAGTTTGGATGGTATCTGTTCTCTATTATGAGTACAGGCAATGTGTTCAGTATAATG